CAACGAATGTAGTACGTGAAGTAAAACAAAATACTGTTTGAAAAGCCACAATAAGGTAGATTGTGCTGTTTCCCAGTCTCTGAGCTAAAAGCGATGTGATCCGGGCGATCCAAATAAATGAAAGATAGCACTTATTGTAAACGATTCGAAGAACGCCTACAATTTGCCTTCTGACTTGGAGACAGAATTATGCATCAAAATCGGATCAAACGCATACCTTGACACGAAACTAAATCCAGTTTACATATATTTAGGAACCTCACAAAGACTGCTGTAGTTTAAGTTCTACTTGATTTGCAATCTTAAAGTGCCTCCCAAAGTGTTCTAACGTCATAGCAAACGGAATGACGCAACATTGACTAGGCACCAACACCCTTAGTTAGACAACTAGGCACCCTTACTAGGTGGAATCTTGCTCCCTGCAGTACGCGACACGTGATGAATGGTGAAATTTTATAATCACAACAGCCATCAACAAATTTATGCAGGGTATCTCTCAACATAAGATTTAGCTTCAGCCTAGTAAAACCTAAGTTTGCCCCCTCAGAACACAAAGCCACTTGCAAAGAAAGCAGTACGGTACATCTTTAACATCACCATGAGACATCATGAACAGTGTCGACCGGTTACGGACATGGTTCTTCCCTCTATAGCATCAAAGTGCCTACTTATCTCCTTTTGCTTTGGTTGTTGCATAACACTTATTTTGGTGTTTACAAGCGAACGCTTACAGACGGTGGCCAATTCCTTATTGCTTCTGTCAGCTCCTCCGATGACAAGCAGTGTTGCCAAGTTGATACCCAGATATTCGCTTGACGATTCTTGAAAACCTTTTCGGTAGCTCTCGATGGCTTTCTCAAGGGACTCACGATCAGTACAGTTTGATTCCACAAAGCGGTCTTTGTATATCCGGCCCTCCAGACCGTATAGATCGGGAAAAGGTTGCTTGCAGTTTTCGATCACCTGCATGGATACAAACTATTTATCAAACTACTCCTGTCGACATACCCGATCGTTGTTCGCCTCATTAGTGTATGATCAATCAAATTTGGCTTTAGCGTTGACAAATTAGAACAGGATTAGACAGATTTTATAGTGTTACGCAAGGAACAATTGATTTACATCCTTGATTATGCTCAGAGCCTTCTCACGATCGCCTTTACCGTTTCGACGATTAAGAGCGAATGCATAGTAGTAGCGAATGTTGGGAGGCTCTAGCAGATATTGATAATTTTCGAGTCCCTTGATGGCCTCCACGAGACTTATCATTTCCGAATAGGCCTAAAAAAATGAGGATCATCTCACCATGAAAAACATAACGAAGAGAGCTCCACATCTTTGAAGGTAGATTTGATCATGGAAGGGTTAAAAAAAGGCATCGATCTTGAAATTTAATTACAACGCGTTGTCCAGTGTTTGACGGTTCGCAAGCAACCTGGAACCTAATTTATGAAGTTATGAATTCGTGACATCGAAATGTAAATAGATAAACGATAATACAATTGTGGAGGAAACACTCGCAGTCCTCAAACAGAAATCAAAACGTCAAAAGTCTCCCCCTCCTGAGCACATCAAGGTTTTCCTGGCTACCAAATAAACTCGATAATCAGCGACAAAAGAAGCTCGCAGCTAGGCACAGGCTTGAAAATACCACCCTAGAACACCCAGAGCATGAAACTAAGTACCTTAACTGCATCCCAATACTTCTAACAAGACACAAATGAATGCAAAAAGACCCTTGCATTTCTCCAATACGCATGTGTGGATAGGCAACGATTTCTAACGAATTAGGATAGCACTTAGAGACAATGGAAGCCTCAATGCATTTACCCACAAGCATTGTGAAACACGCCAGCCCACAAAAACAATGACTTGAGTTAGAATTCCAAAGAAATAATTGGAGCAAAAGGTCAAAGCCACAGTAAACATTTTTAAAAGTTTATGGTCAACTATTCACGAATTGCATCGGCGTAGAGCGCCGTCAGGGCTTAACACTGGCAGTCTAGTATGAGTGTTCCGTGCATTAAAACAAATGTACAAATTTGTCCTTCCAATTAAAATAAAACCACAAAATAGTTGTCTGAGTATACCCAAAAGCCCTAGTAATTTCTTATCGACGAAAAATCGAGATTTACATCTATAAAACCCACTCAGTAGGCTCCTTATTTCAATTAAACATCACTCTCCAATATTTAGCATTTTTGAGCACTCAGTAAATCCGCTCTACATTATTAAACATGCAGAGCGCTTAAAAGTCTCAAGTGCCTACATTAACGAAAGATTCAAGGTTCACATAGCTCTATGTGTCCTTTTCGACTTCCAGACCGAGCAAACGAATTCAAAGCTCAAAAATATTTCCACGCAACTCTAAGATGCGTGGTGGTAAAAAGTGGCCACGCATGGGATGGTCTTAAAAGATAGGGTGCTGGATCCTTAAAGAGCTCGTCCACCGTGTCAAGCGTCACTCACCAGAAAGAAAATAATGGTGGATCAGAAAACTGGCGCAATATCTAATTGTTATCCACTTTAAAAAGAATGAAATTGCCATGGAATATTCTTTGAAAAAGCAAAAACTTCAAGTTCAAACAATGCATTACTAAATATGAAACTTAGATCTCAGATCTTAAAATAATGTTTGCCTAAAGCCATTTTGAAGGTTTCTTAACGAGCACAAACATTTCAGAGGGACACGAACCTCAACATGCATATAGGAAAGAAACATGTTAAGAAGGCTGTCCGGGGAGAGAAGTCTTGGATCATCGAGACGACGTCGCATCTTGCGCAACTTCTGAAAAAGAATGATCACTGCCTACACTAGTGGGCCCAAATCGGTTGTTACCAGCCTCTGTGCAAACATTCAAACATATGACACCAGTAATAACCACTGCTCACTAGTACAAATAGTTTACTTAAAGATGATGTGAGCTCACCTCGCGGAGTTCATCGTCTTTTAGCGTCTCACGGTCTACTCGTAATTCCTTAACGAACTGACAGGAAAGGTGGTGCCTAAAAGTGCAAAATCAAGTGAAATTCGAGGCACTAATTTCAAAGTAGCGTTAAAAACGATAAGGAGTAAAATAATTCACGACAAAATACCTTGTTTCCTTTTGCGCATTCATAAAACATTCCTTCAGTCGAGACGACAATAATGGAAGGGTTCCCACTATCTTTCCCTTTACATCCGTCACTTCTCCATTCAGGAAGTTCATACGCCCAGCATCTACATAACGAGCACAACCCTCTCCATCTTTAACATATGGCAGTAATAAATTTGGCTCCTCAAAAGGCTACGTAGAACCCATAGATTAAGACCACGCATTACCGGTAGACTTCTCACAAGATCTACATCATCAGCGCACGCCAAAACAATGTTTACAGTTGACTTAACGCTTTCACGAACGCCTAAGTGATAAAGGACAACTGAAATTTCTTTCTAAACGATAATGTAATTACGGGTACAAACATACCCATCCACTGATATCAATAACCAAGATTTCAGCATTATACAATGCGTCGAGAACCTCCGTATTATTTTTACTGACTTGGTCAAATGTGTAATGCTGAACTTTTGCCTTAATTCTAAAAAGCTCGAGAAGTACGAGATTTACGCTTCACATGCTTGAATAACCGCGGGAATTGCATTTCCTTTTCCACCAATGGGAACAGCATCTTTCCGAGTGGATAAGCTTCCATCGACAATACAAACTACGCATAACTGATCGGAGTTCATCTCGTCATGATAAGTGACAGCGCGAACGAGAGAACAAACTTAACCCATTAGCCAATAGATTAAAGGGCCAGAGTCGTCTTGACCTTGAAAAGGCCTCAAGGACATGGCATTTAATCAAATGACAAACGAGATCAGATTCGCAAGAGATTTTTCCACATTTTCCACAGTTAAATTTAATACATAACTTGTACACATATCTGACATTTTACTCAGAAAGTTAAACGGTGGTGCAGTTCAAGTGAAGTCGATTAT